AAGAGTCTAAAATGTAACTAAGTTAAGTTAAAATTATTTAACTTTTCAACTTTTTAACTTAACTTTTAGCTTTTTAACTTGGCACTACCCAACCCTGCAACTTGATCATCAAACTGATTATCAAACGCTACTTTTATACAGTAATATTTATTTAATAATGAAATGTTTATTCGAATTGAATTCTTGTTAAAATTTACATCAAACATAATCGCGTTAACTATTTACAGTAGATTAAAAATTTTTAGTGTATTTATTATCTATCTCGTATAATTCGTGACATGATAATCAAAGCTATAATTTTTAAACATCGTCAAAAATTGATACTGTTTTATAAACGATCATGTAAAGTAATCATGCTGGCAACTCAAATAAAAAATTAACTATTCCTATACATATACATATACTATTATAATAGTCCAATAAAATGTATTGAGAATTTCGCGGTTAATTTGTTGTTATATTATCGATTTACAACAGCTTTAAAGTGCACTGAGTGCGCACCAGTTCTGCCAATAAAAAACGCAATCAGATTCTAGAGGCCCACCACCACCCACGCTGAACAATTTCATCGGCGATCCTTTTTTCTTTATAAATATATTCACCCTCACAAGAAAACAGACTACTATAAATTATAGTGGCCCCTTTTTATGGATAAGTATTTATATATTTGTTCTTCTACATTTTTATTTCTAATTATTTTACTTTATTTCGCTAATCATTTCGCATTAAAATACAAATTTCAACATTATCTTTGATAGTATTAAAAAGGCTGTTCTGTTTTTACCAAATATATTTGCAATTTGCAAACCGTTGAATAAAATTGAAATTCTAATTGTAAGCTAAGTACATTTAATTTAAAGTTGTAAAGAAAATTTAAATAAATAAAAACGATATATATTATAGGACCATATATGTGATAACACAAACTATAGAAATCAATGTCTAAACGGTCTGGCTGGATCTTAATGTCTAAATGGTCTGGCTGGACGCTCGCATGGAATGTAAAAGATCCGGGTTCGACCCGACCGAGGTAATATTTTTCGCAATAAGAATGAATTATTTACAGATTTTAATATCTCATTCAACATTATTAAGATCGTTTAGAAAATGCGAATAATCAAAAATTTGTTAAATTGCTAGTCAATTTAACACGTGATATTACTGCAGTAGTTTAATAAAGTTAGCATTTTAAGACCGAAAAATCATTTCTGGGGACTACACACGTAGTATATAAATTTTGAAGTGTCTCTATATATAAGATCTATATATAAGTGTCTCTATATATATACGTTGTCTCTATATATAATTGTTAGTAATTATAGAGGCTTTGGAACATACTTAACCACTAATAATTATGTTTAGTAAAAAGGAGCTGACAATCTACATTAAAAACTATAACTTTGTAATTTTAATGCAGACGCATATTATAAAACAAAATTCGCTAAATTAACTTATTTGAATATTCAATTTCGAATTTCTCAAAATTCAACAACTTTTATTTAGGAGATGCGAAATTAAAATTTTTATTCAAGGACCTATCAATAAACATTATATATTATTAAATAATTTATTAAATAAAAATGTAAAAATTATCTTATTGCAGAACCAGAATTCGGATTTTCTTTAATTATACGTGTATATTTTTGTGTGTACTGTGATATACATGCATTTTGTATACAAGATATCTCATACATATAAGCGAAATGTGTAAGCAAAAATATTGTAAAAATGCATAAGCGTTTTATATATTTTATACACTACGCGCAGAAATTAAAGCATCACCTCTCACACCTTCGAAAAATGGGTAAACTTCAAAGGAGTGTAACTTCTACAAAAATAGTCAAAATGAGATTTTAGAAAAAGCACTTTGTAGCTTTAAATCTCTACTTTCCAAATCCGTATAATGAAATAACGATTTGGCTGATTTTTACGGAACTACATGATTATAAAGGAAGATCCGTAAAATCTCAAAATTTTTTATAAACTTTGCACAGTTTCATGCCGTGAATGAGAAGTCGGGCACAAATACAATTCACAGCTTTCGAAAGCGAGATCCTTTACCTTTAATTTACTTTTCTTTTTACCTTTGTACGATTTCTTTTTACCGAGTTATTCAACATTGAAGTAAAAATGGTCCATTTGACTTTGATTGCTCATAAAAGACGAACGGAGTGACGTACAGCATTTTTAAAAAAAGCAAAAAAAAGTTCAAAGTTTTCTCTTTAAGATACTTTTATCAATTTTTAGACACAGATAAGCTTTTTATGTAAAAACTTAAATGAAAGATAAATTTGAAAACTGAAACAATTATCTGTTTCTATTTAACTCGATCTATTCTTATCAAAAAGAGAGAGAAACCCTATAATATTAACATAATTTTGCACTTTAGAGTCTACTGATTTCAACGAGACTCATACAAAACTGTTGCGACATTTTTAAACTAATGTCCTTCATGTAACTAATGTCCTTCGAAGTTACGATTTTGGGCAAAACGACATTTGCTGATTTGAATTTAACCCTTGTCTCTATAACCGGGTACCCATTTCGTACTTTTTGTCTTAATATCGATGATTTCTACTCAAAATAGCGCCAAATGGCTCCGGTTCCCCATTATTTACACAATTTCACGTAAATTTAACTGGTTGTTTAAGAACTTGTCATGAAAAAATATTGAATTTTCGATCGTCAAAGTTGACTACACGATTTCAATAACCGGGGTACCCGGGTACCCATATATTTTATATTAAAAACCGTGAAAGGGAGAATGTCCTGTGGTATATCCTTTGGATGATAAAATATAATTAATTCATAAATATGCTAGAAATAAAAAAATACTTTATTTAAACAAAATTTTCGAATTTTTAATTATTTTCGAAGCAAATCTTACATTTAGTTATATTTTGACAATGTTCGTCACAAACTGGTTTACTGCAGTCAACACTTTTCTAGTTTTTCTGCGCTTTCGTATTTCTTTGCTTCTACATATATAACAGGCACCAATAACTTTTTTTCTTCCTGTCGGGTCCCTTACTGCATTTGTAGAAGTGGAAGGCGAAGCAGTTTCGTCGATAATATTGACAGATTTTTGTAACGCATTCGATGCCTGATCTTGTGGCGAAATGTCTCATTATTTGCATGTTTTGCGATCGATCTTGAATCATTGGGAGACATAATTCTTCTCCCAATTGACGCAAAAATATGCTGCGTACATTATGTTCTTATTTTATCATTTCATTGTTTGCCTTATAAATGAGGTAGGCAGCGAGAGCAGCAATATCCAGTATGTTATAAAACAATGCGAGAGGCCATCTGTTTGTTTTTCTGCGTGTTGAATATTCCCCAAGTAATTTATCCATTACATCTAACAAGGGAACGGTCGGAACTGTCCCTCACCGATTTTAATGCGCTTTGGATATGTTGTAAAGCATCAAAAAATATTCGACCCATATTTTTTTATAGCGGCTTATCTCAAGGTTTAGGGGGTGAAACATCTCCACGAAGAAAATAGATTTTTCCGTTTTCAGCGAATATCTTCGAAACTATGCCACGTATGAAAAAATGTTTTATACAAAAGTTTTACAGTATTTTATGCTCTATATAATAGTGTATTCATTTATTTTTTAAATCAAATTTTTTAATTAACCCCTACCCCCATTTATCAGGGTTGCAAAATTAAAAAACTTTTTAAGAACAAAAATTAAAGAGCATCGGATGCCGAATCCATT